ATTTTGTCTTGGTGTGAAGAACTTTCTAAATCTGAAGAACCTTTTGTGCATTGAAATGTTCCATGGATGTTAAAGGTTCTTCATGGAATCATTGATTCCAATAAAGAACCTTTAGTTTTAAGGGAGTTCTGAACGGTTGACCAATGGTGGGAATTCAAAAGCAGCCTTGCTCAAATAAGGACCTTTGTTGATCTAAACTGAACAAAGTAGTTTTTTCACAAATTCAACTCTTCGAATCATAAAGCTGTTCAGTGCTCATTAGGAACCCAAAGGAACCTACAAGATCCACTTGGTGTGTGAGAAGTGAAAGCCTTTCCATGTGGGAAAACCTTGGTCTTTACTGTACTGTGGTCCCTGATTGCGGTCTTGAAGCACACTTTTTCATCATCTCCACTCATTTTAAGATCAGATATGACAGATGGGCTTTGTGTAACCACTTGAAGCCCATGGAAAGCCCCAAATATGTTCACCCTTTGTGTGATCAACCCTCCAGAGGACATCTCAAGGCTTTGATTCTGGGTCAGGCCTGAATCTTCACTTAGTTGCTGAGGAGCCTGTTCATCCTGGTCCAGCTGGGCCTTCAGATGCTCCAAGTTTACTTGTACAAGTTCATTTTCAAGCCTGGGCTGCTTGGAACTGGACGGACAGTTCAAGATGTTGTCTTCAGCATCTTCGCAGAGAAGGTCATCCCAGCTGGACCACAGCTGCCACTTGACCCCTGATGTTGGGCTTTGTTTGTCAGTGGTGGTGGAGTTAGTTAAAGCCGTGGATGATGGATCTGATGGCTCTTCCTGTGTCAGCAGAGAGATCCAGGAGTGTTCAGAAGAATGATCCTCTGTTGGCCTCACAGGAGTGCAGTGTGATACAGAGTCTCTCTGGAACGATGTTGTCAGGGCCTAGTAGAGAGGAAGTGGAATTGACAAACGGTCATTCGAGGGTGTGACTCTGAAAATGTGGAGGTTTTGTTGCCCTCTGGCTGCTGAAGTTTCACAGATATAAAACAGATGACTTTTGAATGGTCAATTCAGCATTTGTCACAATTACAAGATAAAAGACATGCGAAACCTGCAAATAATTGATTTATTAAACTGTTCAATATATACAAATAGAAAAATAATTTATTGAATTATATATTTAATAAAAAAGAAATATGTTATGAAATGCTGTTCACAATGCATTTTACTTCAAAATATGGCGTATTTCAGGGTGAAACAGGATATTCAGTTAGAAAAAAATAGTTGGGAATTAATTGAATGGTGAAAGTGGGTGTCAATAATGCACAGGTGAAGCATTCACAAGAATGTGCAGTAAAAATTTAAATAACTTTTGAATTTTTGAATTCAATTTAGATTTTATGCTACATTTTTGCTTAATTTATATTGTGATTTCAAGGCCTGGAATTTTTTTTTCATAATCACTGCAATCTATGGAAGCATTTTTCTCTGATTAATTATAAAAAAAGGTAATTGCGACTTTATTTTAACAATCCTTAGATTAATTGAATGGTGAAAGTGGGTGTCACTGTAATTAGACAAATAATGCACAGGTGAAGCATTCACAAGAATGTGCAGTAAAAATTTAAATAACTTTTGAATTTTTGAATTCAATTTAGATTTTATGCTACATTTTTGCTTAATTTATATTGTGATTTCAAGGCCTGGAATTTTTTTTTCATAATCACTGCAATCTATGGAAGCATTTTTCTCTGATTAATTATAAAAAAAGGTAATTGCGACTTTATTTTAACAATCCTTAGATTATATCTCGCAATTCTGACTCTTTTTTTCTCAGATATAAACTCACAATTCTGAGAAAACGTCAGAAAGGTAAGTTGTGAGATATAAATTTATAATTGCAGGATATAAACTTGCAATTATGAAAATTCAGAAATGTGAGATAAAAAGTCAAAATGACCTCTTTTATTTTTTATTCATGGCAGAAACAATAAATGTCACAACTGCAAGATGTAAATTCAGAATTTTGTGAAAAAGTTTATCTCGCAATACTTACGATTTTCCTCAGAATTAAAAGTTTATGTCTGAGAAAAAAAGTCAGAAGTGTGAAATAAAAATGTCACAATTAGCTTTTTCTAGATTTCATTCATGGCTAAAACAAACAAACAAAAAAAGTCGCAATTGCAAAATGTAAATTTGGAATTGTAAGAAAAACATTTAATGAACAAGTTTATATCTCTCAATACTAATGTTTTTCCTCAGAATTAAAAGTTTATGTCTGAGAAAAAAAGTCAGAAGTGTGAAATAAAAATGTCACAATTAGCTTTTTCTAGATTTCATTCATGGCTAAAACAAACAAACAAAAAAAGTCGCAATTGCAAAATGTAAATTTGGAATTGTAAGAAAAACATTTAATGAACAAGTTTATATCTCTCAATACTAATGTTTTTCCTCAGAATTACAAGTTTATATCTGAAAAAAAGTCAGAAGTAGAAGATATAAACTCAGTCCAGAGTTTATTTCTCGCGCTTCTGACTTTTCTCTCAGATAAAAATGTGCAATTATGAGAAAAAAGTCAGTACTGCGAGATTTAAACGAAGACTTCTTTGCTGAATGTCACCATACTGACTTCTCAATTGCTAGTTTATATCTGAGAAAAATGTCACAATTACAAGATGTGAACTCCGAATAAGTGTACACACTGTAATTATAAGGAATTCTGATGTACTGTATTGTCTTGATTATTTTCTGGAAAAAATGCTTTACATCTAGTATTGTGGCATAATTTTCAGTCTGTTCAGCCAGATTTCTCAGCTGGGCATTTGTCGCCTTCAGGGCAGATATTTCCTCTTGCTTTCTCCTGAGTGTGGCATGAAGCTGCAGAGAGAGACACATGATTATTACTCACTAACACACTTAGTGAAGTATGTGAGCACTGGCATGGAGACATGAGATAATGTGATTCATGATGACCTAGTCAAACATGTGCCCTCAAAACAGAATGAGCTCATTCAGTTTGCATACCTGAACAAGCGAAGAATCTTTATCATGCTTATGCATTTTCATAAGAAACCATTTATCAGATGACATGCAGCAGAATCTGAATAGATTGCTCAGTTATTTGAATTACAAATATAAGGATGCACTGACAAACTGTGGTCTGAACAACACTTGCTAAGGCAAGATAATCATTTCTGAGTCACTAAGGAATTTAACAAGCAAAAAGGGAAGTGGTCAGCAATTATGTCACATAGGACATTTTTATGTAGAAATCAGCAGCTGCAGTGTGTGAATATTTTTCCAGTTCTCTAAAATGTTTTTAACTTGTTTAATCCCACAGGTTATATCTGTGAATGAGACCTGGATTTTATGAGTTTGTACAATTAAAGCTATTCCAGTTTGCCTCTTTGAAAAAATGGTCTTTGTTACATTAAATGGAAACAGTCAAATGTAAAAGAAATGTACATTTATTCATTTCTGTTCTGCAAACAATTGGCTTTTAAAATGCATTATGTAACTTTAGTGTTTGCAGCTTTATACATTTATTGGGTGTTGTTGAGAAAGTGAGCATGTTCTGATTCTGTAGTTTCCCACTGGTGACCAAGAATAAACCACACTTTGACTAACTTCTTAAAAGCTTTTTTAGAGAAGCCAAGAAGTTTCGTTTTCAAATGTTTCACTGGCCAATCCAAGGAGTAAAATTCATGCAGTCACTTATCTGAGGATGGTTTGGGAATAAATGAGCTTATACTGAAGTGGGATATTTTGGTTGATTCTTGGACTAGGGGCAATTTTGACTTCAAAAATGGAAACATTAAAGGGGTCATGACCAGGGCCGGATTTACAAATTTTTGGGCCCCCCTTCCCTATTAATATAATAGCCTAGGCCTAATATTACCACCCAAGCAAACAAAAATATTTCTTAACCAGTGGAAACCATTACAGTGTTTTCTATCGCAATAAGCGCTTGCGTTCAGTCGATACAAATCGAATGTAGTTCTTAATTTGTTTGAGAACTGAGAAAGACCGTTCCATATAGGCGTCGTGGCCACTTCGGGAGTGCATTATTTCTCTAATAATTTTAACGGCCTGGAGTCACAACCACACATCAAGACATTGTTCAGATGATTTGTTTCAAGACATTTAACATGTTTCCGTCCTGAAATCTCATGTGTGTTGAACCATTTTTTTTTACGCACCTCATCTCAAACATTCTGTTGCAAATTCCAAAACATAATTTTAGAGCTAATAACAGAGGCTTGAGCCATTGATATGCAGACTAATGCAGTCTAATGCGGTTATTAGAGCGAGAGAGACAGAGATTAAGTGTGTGTGAATACCTGCATCTATGCGTCTCTCAGCAGTATTCAGCAGCAGCGTACTAATAGCGACTAACTACTAATAGCGAATCTTTAAGTTAAACTGATTTTTTTACGCACCTCATTTCAAACATTCTGTTGCAAATTCCAAAACATAATTTTAGAGCTAATAACGGAGGCTTGAGCCATTGATATGCAGACTAATGCAGTCTAATGCGGTTATTAGAGCGAGAGAGACAGAGATTAAGTGTGTGTGAATACCTGCATCTATGCGTCTCTCAGCAGACTAATGCAGTCTAATGCGGTTATTAGAGCGAGAGAGAGAGAGAGATTAAGTGTGTGTGAATACCTGCATCTATGCGTCTCTCAGCAGTATTCAGCAGCAGCGTACTAATAGCGACTAACTACTAATAGCGAATCTTTAAGTTAAACTGCTTCAAGAACCTCGCTACTGAGAAATGTCATGCAGCTTTTCAGCTGCGAAACTGGGAGAAAGAAAGCATGATTTCCGTAGCCTACATAAAAAAGGTGGAAGACGTGGAAATAGTTTGTCATTTTTTACCCTATTGTTTGTTATATTTATTTGCTCAATTTCTTCTGGGGTTTTGGTTCTATTACTGTTGTAGATAGCCCATAGTATAACAAAAATATAATATATCTCTTCATTGTGTTTGGACCCCCCCTGGACGAACGAGCATAGGCATGTGCCTAGAATGCGTAAATCCGATCCTGGTCATGACATGACAAACCAAATTTCATAACTTAAAATGTCCTCATCATCAATTAAAAAGCATTTATGTAATAACCCTCAGAAAACGGCTCGTTTGGATCAGAGGTGCCAGGGTGACTTCACCTGGGCACAGTCGTTTGCATAAACACCGCCTCCAGAGCAAGACAAATCTTCTTCTCACCATAGGCCCAGCCCGCTGGCTTGATCACGCTAAATGCGAGTGTTGTGTCGCGTCAAAAGCAAATAGAAATTACAATCACTGCTGCTATCTCGTCTACACTGGATACAGTATACAGATGGGCGTTCACTTTGTCACAGTCCACTCGTCAGTAGGACAAATGAAACGAAAGAACATTTGCTTTGATGCATTTGGTTTAAACAGCTAGTTCACGTCTTCGTACAGACATCAGAAGGATCCCAGCGTGAGGAACAAGTGGATAGTTTATTTTTAATGGCATCCCGGATCGTGTCTGAGGATTGATCGGAGTATTTTGTTTTGTAAACGAGGCACAGTGTCATGAAGAGTTCACAAAGAAACATTTGTTGAAAGATGAAGCGGTACTAGATCCGACTGCTGCTGCATCACAAACCGCAAGTAAATGATTTTATAATGCTTTGTCTGGAAATGACTGTTTTATTTTGATCATGTTGTCAAAACACTCATGCAATAGCTAGGGGGCGTTGATACTCTTTGCGATGACGTTAGCCAATCATAACAGTCGCTGATTACTCAGAAGCCTTAAAGGACCCACCCCTTAAAAACAGCCCGTTTCTGAGAGAGGTTCAGAATGAGGGTTGAAAATAATCTTTTTTTTTGTGCAAAAAACTTTATTAACATTATAAGTAAACCTCAAGTTTAATATTTTAGTATTTGAAAACCATTTTCTGAATAATCAGTGTGGTGATAGAAAACCACAAAACAGAAAATAATAACATATTTCAGATATTTTATCTACGATAATATGTTTAAAATCTTTTTTTTATTTTTTATTCAGTTACCTATTTTTTAAAATCGTTTTAGGTAACTGAAATAAAGCTGAAATAAAATAATAGATGAATATTAGAAATGTAAATATAAAATTGAAAGAAGTTCAAATACTAAATTACTGAGTACTAAAACGCTAAAACTAAGTTACACAGAAATATAAAAAACGAATAAAAATGACAAAAGCATGTAACAAAATTTCCCAAAAAATATATATGAAAAATATATACAATTATAAATCAAAATATTAACAAATACTTTAGTAGTATACAATTAATACTAAAATAACTCTACATGGTTACACCACTTGACATCTTAGAGACATTAATAATTCTTTCTGTTGGTATAAATTATATAAATATTTTTCAAAATATTATTTTTAAATATATTTACTTGGAAAACTATGTTTGAAAATGTGTATTTACGATATCATCTTTTAATATTTATATATATTTTTTATGTTATTCCTAACACTTGATGGATAAATGTTGTTATTGTTAACTAAAACAAATAAAAAAAATAGTTCTATGTTATTGAACCCCCCTCCCCCCGGAAATTCAATATAATTTAAGTTGAAGATGAGAAATGTAACAAAATTACATAAAGTGGTAAGTATACTGAAACAACTCTGGATGGTTACCCCACATGACATTTTAGAGACATGAATCTAAAATCGTTGATGGTATAAATTATACAAATGTTTTTAAAAATGTATGAAACCATCAAGAATACATTTTTAAAAACATGGTACGTGATTTTTATATATATAAAATTTATTTTTTGAAAGATTTCTCCTCTTCATGTTGGACACACTTATTTATCGTCACCCCCAAAATAAAGATTTTCAATTCTATTCGCACACATGCAGCTCAACCAATTCAAGTTCTAGCAGATCATTCGTCAGGTCATGATGACTGTGCTAATGAATCAGCAAGTGTGTTAGGAGCTGTAAGAGGATGTCACCTCAATGGTCATGAGAGCGGTGCGGCTCAGGAAGTGTCTCCGGCAGTAAGCCATCTCAGCACGCATTCCCTCGCTCCGAGAGCTCTTCCATCTGTGAACAGTAACTTCATTACAATGATTTCACTTCCTTTCTACACATACTGCCATACAGTACTGTTCTGTTGAACGTGTGATTACCCAAGATAAGCACTGTAGATGGTCATGTGATCGGAGTTTGCGACTGCTAGGGCAGATTTAGCCAGGTTGGCCTCCTCCTTTCTGCTCATAGGTGTAACAAAGGGGGACTTCTCAGACATGGCCGCTGCGATGGTAGCCTGAATAGTAAAAACAAACAAAAGTTGTTCAATACATCCTTCAATAATATTCCACAGAAGAAAGAAAGTCTAACATGCTTGGAACAACATGAGGGTAAGAAATGATGACAGAAATTGAGTAACATGCTGCAAAAAAACGCTCACAATGGTTTCCAGGCAGCTAAAGATGGCGCCAAAGATGAGCATTTTGCCGATCTTGACGTTGACAGGAAGGGCGGCCAAGTGATGGCCGAGTGGCGTGAGGGCATAGCTATCTTGCTGACAGGCGCCGATCTTCCTCAGCAGACTGACAGCGTTACACACGGCCTGCTGCTGAGGCGCATCGAGAGCTCGACACAGGAAATCCTCTGGAGAACCATATTCACACTTCTGTTCACACATAGAGAGAGGTGACAGAAGTCAGTGTATTATTAACGGAAAAGATGCTTTATGCGCACTACTTCAGAAGTCTGAGGTCAGACTTTTTTTAATTGACTACAAGTGACTGCAAATGCTTTAATAATATTAGAAAAGATTTCTATTTCAAGTAAATGCTGTTCTTTCGAACTTCCTATTCATCAAAAAAAAATCATGATCATGATTTTCACACAAATATAAAGCAGTGCAATGGTTTTCAACATTGATAATAATCAGAAGTGTTTCTTGTGCAGCAAATCAGCATATCAGAATGATTTCTGAAGACTCATGTGACACTGAAGACTGGAGTAATGATGCTGAAAATTCACTGGAATAAATTGCATTTTAAAATATATTCAAATAGAAAACCGGTTTTCAACATTGATAATAATCAGAAGTGTTTCTTGTGCAGCAAATCAGCATATTAGACTGATTTCTGAAGACTCATGTGACACTGAAGACTGGAGTAATGATGCTGAAAATTCACTGGAATAAATTGCATTTTAAAATATATTCAAATAGAAAACAGTTAAATTGTAATAATATTTCACAATATTACGTTTTTTACTGTTTTTGATCAAATAAATACAACCTTGGTGAGACTTCTCTCAAAAACATTAAAATATCTTATCGACCACAAACTTTAACAGTTAAAGGGATAGTTCACCAAAAAATGAAAATTCTGTCATTAATTACTCGCCCTCATGTCGTTCCAAACCTTTAAGACCT